ATCGCCGTTTGAGGAGTAAGAATACTGCTCCAATCTTCAACGATCTCATCAGCTGACTCGCTAGCTGAATCATCTTCATCACTACTTTCATCAAGGAAATCGTCCATATCTTGGTCGCTGTCAGACTCACGTTGTTCATTTCCACGTGCTATGAAACTCAAGGACATTTCATCAATATCGAAGCCTTCAAAATCGCTAATTTCATCTCCAGAAGAGGAAAAAATCAATTCTTGTTCATCTTCAGCATGAGAGGTGCTCGCTGACGCCATTTTGAAAGCGAAAATTTCAAAACAAACTTGTGAACTTGTGCAAAATCCTCGCCAACCTTCTCTCGCTTCAAATTGATTGAAAGCTTGTTTCAAATATGTACCCTGTGGCAATGCTTAGACCCCCCTATACGCATTTATGTCTACTGGGAGCGAGTTGAAGTATGGGCCATATCGGGACCACTAAAGTGGGTCTCGGGCAGGAAAGGGTTCAAATGGCTTATTATAAGCAGCAAAAGCGTTCACCTTGGATAAACACTTTTGCTGTAGCAGAAAGATGGGTGAATGAGCAGGAGAATTGAAAAATTAAACAAGACTTACCTATAAGTTGAGGTTTGATTGAGATTCTATCACATGACATCAGAAGGCGAGAGATCACATGAGATAGCACGGTGCTTGCGCAAGTCATAGTTAAAAGCCACATACTGGGTGTACCAAAAAATAGTATGCTGGCCGAAAGAGCCAAACTAGAAAAAGACTGGCAACCAACTTGCCTCAGAGAGGGTAAGTGTAGATAGTGGAGGGCATCTTATCTCTTGTCTTCTGATGTGATGTGATAGAATTTCAATCAAACTTCAACTTACAGGTAAGTCTCATTTAATTTTTCAATTCTGTCACATCACCAGAAGGCAGAGATCCCATGAGACATTAAAGGATTGATGCATCCATACGACATGCACTCAAACAGGAGGAATGAAATCCATACAAAAGCAAGAGATTGAGCATAAGCAATGATAAATATGTTTGTAATTTATGGTCTAACAGCAACAAAATAAGCAAAAATAGTACATGTAATATACAAGAAACATTGCGAAGTTTTCACTGGTTGAGGATAGCAGAAGCTAGTCTGTTTCCTTGAATAACAGGTTTATTGTAATATTTATGGAAGATCTCGGCAGACTTTCAGCCTGCCTTAGCCATGATCTGATGGACAGGGACATCCTTTTCATTTGCTTTGGAAACAGATGCTGACTTAGTCCTGTGTGCTGTGAACACCTTGGTATCAATCCCACAAAGTCAGAGTTTCCTTAGTCCACATTGAAATTGTGTCCCTAGATACAGGCTTATGGGGTCTAACATAACTAATAAACAATTTTGTTTCGTTATTATGCAAGTTCTTGGTCTTGTTGATGTATGCTTCAGACAAGTCAGGGAGCAAATTGATCTGTCTGGCCCATAGGCAGCAATGTCAATCCTCATATATGGGCTTCGGGGAGTACTGGTCTTAATATGCTCAGCAACGTCGAAGAAAGAATTATCCTCTTCCATGGTAAGATGTTGTAGATCTAAGTAGCGTATTGATTGCTCTTGTTGACTCGAAACCAGTAAAATTAGCATAAGTAACTTGTGCATTAAATCCTTTAAATACAATTTTTCATTGGGGTATAAAGAAGATAAATGTTTCAAAACCACTGAAACATCCCAAATTTTGTCATATTTAGGTTTGGGTCTACATGATTCAAATACCCCTTTCATAAACTGGGTAACAATGTGATTGCTACCAAAGCTTCCCCCATCTATCACAACAATGGTAGCTAAGGTAGAGGAAGCTTTATTAAGGTTAGAGTAGGTAAGCCCTTGATTAAAAAGCCCCTTGAGGAATTGAAGGGTGTCACTCGGTGGTGGTCAATAACAATTAATTTGTCTTACATGACAGAATGCCATCCATTTTTTAATGTATATGGCATACTGTTTTTGAGTGCCTTTCCTCCAAGTTGCCATGAGAATTTCTTTAACCTCCTCTGGAAAGTTGTAACAGATGAAGATTTCTGTGTAGGGGATGTGGGCTTCTGTGAGAGGGGTGTTGAAGAAGGTCTGGGCGTAGGGGCAGAATCCAGGGCTGGTCGCACAAATGTTGTAGGAGTAATGGAAACCACATTTGGGTTGGCCAAAACAGAGCAATTAGTATGCCCTGTGATCTAAATTTGGATGTGGCAGTTGTTCACATGGCAAAAAAAACACTTTAATGCAAAAAAGGCTGCAAGTAATTGCAATATACTTATATGATATCCAGCTTCCAAAGGGGTTCATCTCCCCCCATTTCCTGAGTGCCAAAAACCGCTTTCCAGCCCAATGTTGATGCGTCTGACTGAATTGTGATACTGGGGTGGTCGTAGTGGATATCTTGTTTGAGAGTTATGGCATTATTGCACCACCACTGAATTTCTGTGAAAGTGGGAGGGGATAAGTGCATTTTTCCCATGTAATCACCCTTGTTTGCTATGAGTGCGAGATATTTATCCCATTCAAGGTGGCAGTGGTGTAGAGGTCTGTACTGAGCACCAGGAAAATTGGACAGTAGAATACCCGATAACCTCTGCGACCTGTCTAATTGTTGGCAGTTGTGTTTGTAAGAGCATAGTGCAAACAGAATCCATTGAACTTTTTCCCCAGTAAGTGTAACTGTCATAGCGATAGAATCCAATACAAACCATAAGAAAGTTAATTTCTGGGATGACATGAAAACTGATATCTCTGGATGGATGTGAAACCCTAATTTGGTAAACATGGTGATGGTGTCAATCACATTTTTAAGACATTGAGCTGAGGTGTTGCCTTGCAGATAAGAATCATCAATATACCCTGAATTGAGATGTCCCACACTCCTAAGTGTGGCATACACAGGTTTCGATAGTTTAATAAATATGTGCAGGGCACTAGTTAGGCCATTAGGCAGACAGGTATATTTGAAAAAACACTGTCAAAACAGAACTTTAAGTATTTTTGGTGAGATGGGTGGATAGGAATGGTATAATAAGCGTCTTTTAAGTCCACCAAAGCTATAAAACAACCTGACCTAGTCATGTTTACAGCAGCCTCTAGTGTATCCATTTTAAAATGATTGTAAGCTATAAATTTGTTAAACGCTTTGAGATTTAGAATGCTACGGTGTGTGCCATCTTTTTTCGGTCGTAAAAATATTGTGGAAATAAAGTCCTCTGGTTCCTGTGTCGCCTGGATAATGACCACGTTAGCAAGGAGTCTATCAATTTCAGCTTTGACAATTGAATGCTGATGAGCATTAAAGACACTAGGTCTGCCATAATGTTGCGTGGGTGCAACACTGTTTTTAAATTAAATTTTAACTCCAGTAATAATCTGAAGAAGAATTGGGAAGAGCTGTTGAGGTGTACGGACGTTATTTTTGAGCTCTGTGACCACTACATCAAATGGTGTAGAAAGATGGCTTTATACATTTAGACACAATGCCAGATAAAGAGGGAATGACACGGAAACAAGTCAAGAGTAATGAGAGGCTCTCAGACATGATGAACCTTCAAATTCAGAAGAATCTAATCCGTCCAACGACATGGCAGCGACGCTCGCAGAAATAAACAGTAAACTGGACCTCACTTTAGCTGGAATAAAGGAAATCGAAGAGCTCAGGGAAAAACAACACCTAATGGAGGAAAAGGTTGTTGTTATTCATCGTGGTAGATGCAATAATAAAGTGTATTATTGTTTGTCACACGATGTAGTCACTTAAGATGTAGATCGCGA